AGTAAATATTGACTCTGAGAATGATTCATCTCTCTCTTAAAAAGGACTTTTAAAATCATAGAATTAGTTGCAAAAATACATGGAGTATTTTACTAATGATAGCAATAATTACAAACATTTAAGGGGTATTAACTCTGTCAGAAATAGTGCTGACAATTTAATAACATTATCTTATTAACTTTTAATTCTGCAGATATTTTCTGAGCACCTAATCTGTCCCAGGTGCTGATCTAGGAGTGCATATGAAGTGGTATAAGTTATGAACATTCGTTGAGACAGTAGAAGATGCACATCCTCTGAATGTCAAGAGCACGAAAGAAGTAAAGGTGAGGGGAGAACCTTCTGGTTGGGGTGGCTGGGCAGGCTTGTGACAAGGGTGGTGCTTAAATTGAGCCATGCATAGTAGAGAAAAGTTTAAAAGGAGAATTTTGAAATAACTATAAGCATGTAAGAGGAATAGCAAGAACAGATGTAGGAAGGCGAGAGATCCCTAATCTATAACATCAGTTTGGAATGAAGGTAGTATATGTTATGCTCATGAGAAACTGAAAAGCTACACACACACACACACACACACACACACACACAAATCTGTGTTGTCTCATATGCAGATTTAGAAAAAAAGGGGGGCAGTCTTTTTTTTTTGGTAAACTCCCTCTATCAAGTGACATCCCCAGCCAGGCTGTTCAGACTAACAATTCTCTTTATATCTCTAAATTTACTTATGCAATTTCTGTGGCCTCTCTTAATGTGATTCTTAATTTGTTATCATATACTTCTAGAAACTGTGTAGAAGGCATCTGTTCTCTGGTGGGAAATGGGCCAAACAATATCCTTGAAGTGGAACCAGACTCCACGCATGTCACCATCACTCCTGAGGAGCCCGGCTCTGCTCTGATCACATGGGTGCAATAGTCCAAAGGCTGACAAGAAACAAAGGTGAAATGTTATCATGCAAGGTTTTTAATGAAAGAACAGAGCCCAATTCAAAATGTAGGTAGGGGAAGAAAAAAATCCTCTGTAGGAAAACCTACATGAACTTTTGCATGTACATAAAAGATTTCTACAGATCTCCTAAATGTTTTTATGCCACTTTAAATCAGTGAGGTGCCTTTTTTACTTTTCAAAATGGTTCACTTTTGAAGAATTTTGTCACATTACTTTAAGGTTTATTCTCATGACAGGCCTGAGAGAGAAAAGAGAGATCATCATTACCTCTATTTCACAGGAGATGAAACAGAGGAAGGAACTACTGATTTAGGAGCATGATTTACACATCAGTTGTGGGAGGAAGAGGGACTGAGATTTGAGACCCAGCATTCCACTGATGCCTGGGTGCTCTCAGACTTTGTTGTTTTTGTTTATATGTCTGTTTTGCCATATGCTAAGGAAGAGTTAGAGCTGAATTCACAGTGTGTGCTTTGGCAGAAGCCTGTGCTCCTGCCCATAAGAAACCATCACTAGGAAATGTAGAGATTGGCACAGAGTTCTAGGAGAACCTACGCAAGTTATATGTACTGGCCTTTGGAGCAAGATTCTTAGTCTAGACTAACTCTGAATCATTTATTAGTCTTTAAAAGATGACCTTCCAGGGTGCTGATAAGACTTATTGCAAGTGAGGTGCCTGCCTGCCTCCCTGCCCCCATTTATCCAACTTACGTTGGACTCTGATACACCTCACTGATAAGATAAATTGTAGCTGATGTTATTGCAGAAGGTATCAGGGAGGTGAATGCAGTAGAGTCCCTTTGTTGCCTCTCTAATGTAATAGGTGAAATCTAGTTAAGTCACGAAGCTTAAACATAGGCAGCACTAATCACAGTGAGGGATGTTATGAAACTGGTCATGACCTGGAAAATTAAAAGCAATGAAGTGCATGCTGGTCCTCATGGGTCAGGATCCAGCAGGAGGAATAAGATGCCAGCTCCCACACATCCTCCCCGATAACAGGCTGGGCATGACAAGCTTTGGTAATGCTGTGCAAACCACACATTGCCTATTGATGCAAATATTTTATAGGCAGATACAATTAAATTTAAGTTATCAATTATTCCCTTTGTTGTTTTTGAACCTAAGGGGTGCTGGAGGTTGGTAATGGGGCAGGGGTCAGTTTGCTAACCAGAACCACTGCTCTAGCCAGTTGGGCCAATAGAAGCTGAATTATAACTACACTAGTAAAAATCATCACATCTTTTAAACAATTCTCTGTAAACTCACTGCAGCATATCAGCATGTTATCTAATGTAATCTTCATAGCAATCCTAAGTTGGTTTTATCTATATTCTAACATTGTGAAAATCAAGACTCAAAGATGTTAAAGAAACCTACCCCAAACTACCTACCAAAAAGGGGGCCCAGCAGAAATCTGAGTGGTGTATGGGTTTATTTTGGAGTTTCTTAGAGATGTTGTTAGGTCAGTTGAATGTGATGGTGGGGAGAACTCTTGGCATGAGCATGAAAATCTGTGTATGACCTTGTTTTCAGGTCACTGACCTGGTTAATTCCTTTGATAGCTTGTATTCATCCCTGTGAGTAGCTCACATAGTGTCACCAATGTGTATCACCTGAAGCTTGTTATCCAAGAAGGCTATGGTGGGGCCTGATGCTGGCCGTTAAGCCTAGAGAGACTTCATGTGCATATTCCTTTTAATATATTGCTACTAAGACAGGATATCAGGTGATTGGCTAATCAGACTGTTCCCATGAGCCAAAAATATGGGCATATTCCTTAACCAGGATAGCAGAGCATGTGGGAACCCACACTCATGGGCCAGTGGATAGAAAGCTCTTCTATTCTGCTCTTTACTTCTTACCACACTCATTAAAGAAGGATTTGTAACTGTGCTTTGGAAGTATTGTCCTCAGTTCTCACCTGACTTGCTCTGTATTTTGCTGAGCAGTTGGAGAGATTTTGAGCTGGGTAGCCATAGACTTTCTAATGGGCTAGCATTGAGGTAAGACCCTGAGTTACCTACATTTGAATTTAGGTAAATTAAGACTTCAGAATTAGTATTTTGTTGGAGGGGGCAGGGGTGTGAACAGGAATACTCATTCTTTAATACCCCTCAGATGATCTTTATGAACACTGGAAAGAGGGAAAAACTTTTCCCAGAGGGTTCCTTTGAAGGCTTCGGAGTCTGAACCTCCTGGGATTGCCTGCACATCATGAGCACATGAGCATTTTTTTAAAGTTGAAGTTCACTGCTTTCAGTCACTTCTTGAAGGAGTATGTGAATGCAGCAGGGTGAAATCCTCCCAAGCAAGTGGTGGAGAGACACTGCTGAAGAAGAAGAGACTGACCTTTCCGGAGAAAGGGCCCTTCCTCTGGAAATAGTCACTTTGCGTTGTATTTCCCATAATGGGAATGAGTTTCAGGGAACCATACTTCCTGGTTAACCACATAAAACTATATGCATTATGAGGAAAAAAACAGTGCAGTCTTCAAACTATAATGTAATGATTAATAGCAAAGACTCTGGAAACAGGTGCCTTGGGAATGAAATATTGCTTCATTCTTTATGAGCTCTGTAACTTCATGAAAATAATTTGGCAGCTCCAGGCCTCTATTTTGTCATATTTGTTCAGGACAAATACTAAATTTTTAATAACTTTTTATTGTTTTTCTTTACTTTTTTATTGCACAAAAGGAAATAAAACCTGTGACTTTGTACATAAATATGAGAGAATATTATATACCCATTAAATATTTATATAATTACATATTACATATTATTAGTTATATATTTTGTATAATATCTCAGCTTATGCAGCTAGGAAAATGTATTTGGCAAACAAAAAATTGAAAACATAAATTTCAAATATAGTAAGATTATAAATCCATGGTGGCAGAAACATATTTATTGAGTTGCCTAGTGTATATCAAATATTTAATTGGGCATCTGGTACATAATAGGAGCTTAGTAAACTTTTTATTGAATTCATTTATATTTTTCTAAACAAAAAATGGAAGACGTGAAGTAAATCTGGAAAATGGAGCTAAAACATTATCGATTATCAATGAGCATTTTGATTATAAATCAAATTGTATTTTATGACATTTCTTTTAGGATCATGGACAATGTGTATTATAATGTGTATATAATTTCAGAAATCTGAAATTAAAAATAATAGTGAACTTATCTTTATTATACTTAATTCAAGGCAACTGAATTTGACAAAAAAATAATCCCTCTAATTACAAGTCTTTGTAGATAATTTTTAAGGCAAAGGCAAGAAAGCCGCTTTTTTTCTTCTTTTGAATGTGTAATAGCAAGTGTTTTCAAGCATTTCTTCATTAGATTTTTAAATTAGAGAAGAGATAGGTTTGAAGGTAATTGTACCAGTAAAACTAGGCACAGTTCTTAGACATCCTAGTCCCTATACTTTCAAAAAACAAAATGAAAAAAAAAAACAATACATATGTATATAATTCAATTTGAGTCTCAGACACTAGGTTGACCTTGATATTTATGTGTCTGTCCATAAAATTCATGCACACACACAGACACACATACTATGTATGCATAGGAAGGCAAGCACTTGCTCAGTAATGGAGGTGAGACACTAAATGGTCTTTTACTTCAATGGAAGGAAATTTAGAACAAAGGGAGACAGAAGGAGAAGTAAGATAGAGATATGGAGAAAGGAGGAGACAGAAAGAGACAAGTCTGAATCAGGAACATGGGTTCATATGTGCAAAGAGAATCAGGAGTTAAAGACAAAGGAACAGCATAGCAATGCAAAACTTGAAATTCATCAATGTTTTAAAAAAGTTCAAGAGCAAAGCTTATTCTTTATTCATTAGAATCTTTCCTAATATACTAATAAGCATTTTTAATGATTTGACATGAATTCTGAATTTTTTGTTCTTAGGTGCCCTATCACCGTCAAGGCCTTATGAGATGTGCACCAGATTCCAGGGCTAACCAGCAATCACCACATTTCCTTTGCAAAAGTTTGTACAGTGGCTCCTGACTTTACAAAAAGTGGTATTTCATTTTTTATTTTTTATCATAATATATTTTGCCTTTTAAACAGAATTTACACTAGTAGTTAGATTTCTAGGTCAGCCCACAAAGACCAAGGTTCTCATATTAAGATGATCCTGTGCTTTAGGTATCCAGTGACTTTGAGCATTTAAAAGCTCATCTGGACATCAAACTGGGGTTGGTCATTTCATTTCTGGCAGAGTATGCCTTGGAGTCCATGCTGATGAGGAGATATGACGGTGTCAAAGACTTGGACACATTTGCTTTTTAGAACGTGAGACTAATGATCTAGTACAGGGACAGGCAAACTATGTGTGGAACAGATGTGTGTTTTTTCCACCTGCTTTTTTCTAAATGAGTTTTTAGTGGAACACAATCAAGCATTTGCTTTTCCTATTGTCTTTGGATGTTTCTGTCCTAAATAGTTGATTTTGGTAATTGTAATAGTGATCACTTGTCCTACAAAGTATTTCCAGACTGTCCCTTTATAGGAAAGTTCAATGACCCCTAAATGGCCTAAATCAGGAGGACACCTTTTTTAACTATGCCTTTTATATTTGTGCTGATTTGAATTGTTTGTCTTTTGCTCTACGTTATAAAACTATTAAAACATCTCAAATGTTTGTTCTACATGCAAATATGGGGTTTTGATAGTCATGTCTTTATTAAAAATCAGTAGATGAATGTGGAGCAAACTACAGACAGACAGACCTCCTATCTTGGAGACAAGGAGAAGAGTTAGGGGGATAACTCAGGCAAGAATTTTGTTGTTGTTGTTGTTGTTTTGGTACTGAGGATTGAACTCAGGGGCACTCAACCACTGAGCCACATCCCTAGCCATTTTTATATTTTATTTAGAAACAGGGTCTCAATAAGTTGCTGAGGCTGGCTTTGAACTCAAAATTCTCCTGCCTCAGCCTCCTTACCCAGTGGGATGACAGGCACAGGCAAGGAATTTTGATGGCTAGAATTAGCATGGTAAATATAGAGATGGGTGAATATAGGTTAAAATAGATTTGATACAGATTTTAGGATGTATATCCTTGGGAACCTAAGAAGGATGATAGGAAGAGTCAAGAAGGATAAATACCCACAATTCTGACCATGACAATTATACAAATGTGTATTATGAAAGTTAGAGATGCAGAATTTGTGGTTCCCAGTAAGGAGGAGGAAATGCTGCTCTGCTGTACCGTTCTCTACCTCCATTTGTACTTGCAAGGCTTATGGAGCCCCAGTACCACTGAGATATTGTGTGTATGTGTTTATGTCTGTGAACTTGTGCACATGACTTTAGATTGTTGGCACTTGATCTTGACAGTACAGTGCCTTCTGGTATTTTAAGTCAGTTGGTGGTGCTATAACAAAGTACCATAGACTGGGTGGCTTATACACAATAGGAATATATTTTTTCATAGTTCTGGAGACTGTGAAATCTAAAACAAGGTACTGGCAGATTTGGTACATGGTGAGAGCCTGCTTTCTAGTTCATAGGCACACATCCTATTTCTGTGTCCTCTTATGGTAGAAGAGGATGGCTGAGCTCTCTGATAATTCATTTATAAGGGCACTAATAATCTCCAGTCACCTGCTGAAGTCTCCACCTCCAAACTCCATCACATTAGGGGCTGGGTTTCAATATTCAAATTTTGTGGGGACATAAAGGTTCAGCATAAGGCATCTTGCCTGTGGACTTATTGTTGGATTTTCAATTAATGATGACTGTACAAAAAGCTTCTAATAAGTGAGGCTTCTGTTGCTTGATTGAGGCCTCCGTGCTAAGTAAAAATTCCATATAGTTTCTTACAGTGTTGATCCTAGGTGTCAAATGCAAATCCCATATGTTCCCCTATAAGTCATTCTGAGCAAAAGCAAGGACTTGTGCCATGACTTCTCCCTGAGGAAGAAGCTGTAGGTCAGGAACATGGCCAGCATTGTCTTGAGCAGAACCATCCCCCCCGTTGGTGACCCCACTGTTGTTCATTATTATAAACTCCTTCCTAGTTCATGGCAGCACAGAGATGAACGCCACTCCTGATCCCTTCCTTCTTCTGACCAATGCCTCCTGAGTAAGATATATATTATTAGTGTAGGTGGTTAAGAAAAACATGAATCAATTCTGCTGTAAAACTTAAATGAAATTCTTCAAGGCAAACAACCAGAGTTCTAGGTGAGATTAGCCAGTTATAGCGTCCTTGTCTGTTATCACTGAAATTGTTTCTGATGCTTTTCCAGCCTTTATTGAAATATCCTAATATGATCAAGTTCTCCTAAAAGACTGTAAGATGTACGTATTAGCTTCATAACAAGGGTTTTCTTTTTCATGTTAAAAAATAAAATCAGGGGAATAATTCATAGTCTTCTGTCCTAACCTAATAAACTATCCATTCATCTCCTTTCCTAACAAATATCCTAGGACTCCTATGAAATAAAGGTCATTTGTTCAATTTGGAATGAATTAAAAATGAATGAGAGATGAAGGATGTCCCTTCATTGCCAATTTTCTTCTCTTGCAACTTTCTTCCCTCAAAGTTATCCTTCATGCAAGTATCTGAGGTGAGGATCTGAGATTCCTCCTGGGCCTTGATATGAGAGACAGTACAGGGTGCAAAAGTGGTGTGTAAAGAGCATATAGAATGTGTGACTGATTGGTAGTGATTGACTGATGCCTTGCTGTGGTGACTTAATGTCCCATTCCTATTGGAAATTCTTAATTTCATTAACCTAATTGCAAAACCAGTTTAAGAAACTATAGAAAGTAAAACTTTTGATTGAATCAGTGGGTGGCTATTCATAGACACGACATATTACCGAAAGTATTGAGGCTACGCAGGTATTGGCAGGATGGATAGTAGCATCATCTTAGGAGGTATCAGATTCTGTTTCCAGATGTGTGGTGAAGTTGTTCCAAGAGTTGGCACTTCTGTATCCCTGGGGTCCCTACTCAGTGAATTCTGGTACCACTGTATTATGAAGAATTAAGTTCTAGTTCAAACCCATTTCTTTTGAACACAGACCCCTGTTTTACCCTGACTTGAGGTTAAAGTCTTCCTCATGATCTGATTTCAGATCTTCACTGAAAGTGTCCCTGGTAAGTAAGCAATTTAGTAAGTACTTGTGGCTGCCTGAGTTCATTCCTGCTGTGCTGGCTGCAAGTGGGATACATATTCTTTCTCCCTTTCTGTCTTCTTAAGCTCATTTTGATTAAAAGTAGTCTCTTTTCTTCTTTGTGAAAATCTTCCTGTCACCCATTCGACCTGGGTTTGAGTTTGGATCTCTTAGTCTAGGAAATGGTAACATGGAAGCCAAAACTTACAAAAGGAAACTTGGTTCCTGAAGACAGACATTACTTCAGTGAAAAGTAATCAGTAAAATTATATGAGGGAAAATAAAGCAGCTCATTACAACAGGGTCAGCCTTATCTAGTTTATGAGCACCACTTAATTAGTTATTAAAGGCTAAGATATTTGAGAACATTTTAACAGTGTTCTATTAAGGTCAAAGTGACTTAGGATAAATTTAAATGGTGTTAGCCATTATGCTGTGTGAAGAACTCTTGATTTGGTGAGTTGAAGTGTGATGTGAGGCAGTGAGTCCTGAACTGAGTCAGGGGGAGACAAGCTTCATATCCCGCTTCTGCTTTAACTGGCTCTGGGATCTGAGATGAGGTTAGAGTCAATACCCGGGTCGTTTGTGAGGAATTCATGCAAGGAGAGCATTCAGCACAGGGAGGGCTTCGCTCTTTCTGGGTGCCCTGTGAATTCTCAGTCTCTGTTTGGCTCAATCTGTCTGTCAGTCTTTTCTACTGAAGTTTGTTCAGGAAGTTTCTTTGAACCAGGGAGTTTCATAAAATGCAAGTGACACTGGGGACACTGTTCTATTCCAGGATGTTCTTTTTTAGGTTTGGGCATTGGACCTGATCCAGGAGACTGGGGTGTTTGTTCTGATTTTCTCTTCATTAGTTGTGTCAATTCTGACCTTTTTAGAGCATAATTTCTTCCCCTGGGCCGTAGGGATAATACTACTGTCTAGGGACGCATGGGCCCTGAGTGGGACAGCCCCAGCTTAATTCTCAGTTCTACCACTGACTACACGGTAGGTAACCTTGGGCAAGTTACTGACACTGTGTTTCCTCATCTTAAAAGAACGTAATAGTAAGAACCACTTCCTGAGATATTCCAGAGACTGATATGAATCAATATAGAAAAATGCTCTTAGGAGAATGCCTGACACAGGATAGTTGCTTAATAAATGGTAATTGGAATGATTTTTATGGCTTTCTTTCCTTCACTCTAAGGAAATCGCCAGTCATCAAAACTGGAATGCTCAGGGTCCTGCTTATACAGTGTTAATGATTCAACAGCTCTCCCAAGAAAATAACTAATTCACCCATCTTTATTTTACCTTTTCTCTCTCCCTTCTCCCACCCCTGATTTCTCCATGCAGAACTGAGAAGCATCAGCAGCAACAACTATAATTCAGAGCCAAACTGCCAGAAACTAAGGATGGACAAACCTCCCCTCCCAAGCCCCTTCTTTGACCCTGGATTTCACAGGTAGAGAAATTCCACATACTCCTTAAGAGGGACAGAGCTGGGAGCACAAGGTTTTCTGGGAAAACCAGTGGCAGAGGCTCCCTGCTTTTCTACAAGACACTTATCTTCTTACTCAGGGAACCAATATTTTCTTCAACCAAGTGGAAGTCCATGGGCTTTCTCTTTTATTTGAGTACCCACCCCAGCCTCAGAGCCAGTTGACCAACGGGAAACTGTATGGGGCTTTTCTAAGCCCTCTGGGGGAACTCAAAGTAAGTCTCAGTGGAGAAAATGTAGGATTGGCCTGTGGTCTTGGTTGTAACCCTGTCTCTTATAAAATTGTGGTATCAGATGAAATATGAATATAGTCCCTGAAAAGTGTAGACTTGTCACAAAGGCATGATTAACGGTAAGTCACCATGATTGCTTCCTATCTGTCATTCAGGGGTCTGTCTTCCTGAATCATTGTAAAAGTTGTTCATATTCTGGCTTCATGTATGTGTGTGTGTGTGTGTGTGTGTGTATAAAGGCTCAACCCTCATATCATTAGTTTCAAAATCAGTTGTTTTGCCAGTGTCTAATTGTGTGACAGTAAACATTCACATAATCTCTAAGCCCAAATTTTCTCATTTACATGCCTACTGTGCATTCTTGCTCAAATAAAATCTCAACTTTAATTTTGGAACCTCAGGGTCTCAGGGCTAGGTGGGAAGCTTGTATATCATCTGATATGGCCTTTACCTTATGCTCGCACTCACCCCTCACCAGCCTCACAGACAAATGATCCTGCAACTTCAGACTGAAACTGACCTGGCTGTGAGCTAACTCCCTCAGGAGTTCTGATTGGTAGGAAGTTCTTTATTGTGGTAAGATGAACTCTATACCCTCTAGTTACTATTACCTGTTGGTATCTGTGTTACCTCTGGATCCATTAACCTAATTTAATCACGACATTGAATAATTCTGTAAATGCCATTACATTTTTTTTTTAACATAATCACTCAGCTCCTTTGCTGGCTCCACCTTTGGAGATTCTGATCTGAGTTGAGTTATAAAACAGCATCAGGTATTTCTAAACATTTCCAAGTGTTCTTGTTGCTTTGTTCTGATGATCCCCCAGAGGCATGAATTCTACTGCCATGAATGGAAGAGCAGGTGTCTTAAACTTGGATTATTTTATTTTATTTGGAAGTGATTTCTCCTTCTTATGACCTTCATTTATTTTTTTTTTAATTCTAAACAAAAAAAAAAGATGAATACAATTTTAGAAGAGAACTTGAAAGCTTCTAAGTAACAAAATGAAAGTCATTTGTAACTCAACTATTTGTAAAAATATAAATAAGACTGTATTTTATGCCTTGTATCTGGATCATGTTTCAGTATATGTATTTATATGCAATTGTTGAAACTGGCAGTCCATGTGGTTCTAGGTGCTAACCTGGTACTGAGCATTATGTTGTCTTTTCGTAAGTATTATCATAATGGTTGCATCATAATATTTTGTTGAATGAATGCACCATAATTTACTTAATGAATCCCCGATTGTAATCCCCACTTTGGGTTCAGTTTTTAGGAACACCAAGGCTATTTTCTTTGAAGAGTGGAAATATGAGAAAAGGTAATGCCTGTAGGTTCCCATCACAAAATATTTTTTTCCCAAGTGTTAAAGTAACCCCTTCACCCTTTTTTTTTCTTTTCTTTTCTTAAATTAGAGTCACTAGGGCAAGTGTGTCCAATCCTGTTGGAGCTGGAAAGTTGAAAACACAGGTTGATGTGCATGTGTGTGTGTGAATTGTACTTCCCAAATTCAAGCTTACAGTATCATATTGGTGATGTCTGTGACAAACAAGACTTCTTTGGTTTGTCCCTTTTACAGATTCAAAAGGCCCACCCAGGGCTGGAACAACCTTTTCCTCTGATATTCAGAATTTTCTTGGAAATTACTATCCCTCTGTGTGAGGAAGAAAGCTTTTAATGCACTTGAACCCAGAGCAGAAATCAAAATATTCCACGTGTGCCTCGTATTGACATAATTTGGATCCACTTATTTATAAGCACATCACCCTGGTGGCACAAAGGTTCCACCTTCAATGATCAGATCAGTACCCCAGGGTTACTGTTAAGAGTGGCAGTATCCTCTCTACTCTGTAAACATAATCAATTCTAGTTATGTTCTTCATGTGTCCATTAAAAAAGGTGGATGAGAGCTACCAAGATGACTCCCTGGTTTTGGTAGTGAGGTACCCATATCGGGTGGGCAGATCCTCCTCGTGGTTGACTATGATAAGTAAGAGTGAAGCATTTTGCTCCTCTGCCGCAGTCCGGCTGCAGCAAAATAACCGGGGGGGGGTGGGGGGGGGGGGACAAATAACTTGTGTATGTTGATACAGCAGGAGTAGGAGCCCTTTATTGCAGGACAGGAGCAGTATTTATACATTCCACACAGCTTATCTAATTAGCATAAACTAGATACATCAGTCAACCAATAAGGAATCTCCACACTTAATGGCTTGTTTTTGTTACTTCTCAAACCACTCCCTCTGGCATTTTGCCAGGCACCATCCAGACTTGTTTACGAACTTTAACATTCCCCTGGCAAAATGCCAGGTGTTATTTTGACTTGTTTACAGACTCTAACACTCCTCCTTTCCCACGATATAACTTTAATAACTAGGAAGGCCAGGACCTTTTAACTACTAACTTTGGTTCAAATACAAAGAAAAATGATTATCGAGATTGATCTTTTGATATACCAGGGATGAGAGAAGCCATGCAGATTAGGAGGAAAGGGTAGTGATGGCCAACCTTATCTATAGTTCATATATTTAAAATTCAGAACTGTGGACATCCTGAATCGAAAAGTTTTTGGCCACTCAAAATCAAAATCAGCTTCTCAAAAAGAGACAAGACACTCTGCTCATAGAATGGAACCACCATAATCTGTCAGTGAATTTCTCAGCACAAACGTTGCAGGCTAGGAGAGAGTGGGATGATGTATTCGATGTCCTGAAAGAAAAAAAAATTCTGCAAGCCAAGAATACCATGTTTAACAAGATTGCCCTTCACAAATGGAGGCAAGATAATGATATTCCCAGATAAACAAAAGGTGAGGAAGTTCATCACCAGTAAACCTGCCTTACAAGAAATGTTAGAGTGAGTTCTTAAAGTGGAAGTGAAAGGATTCTATTTAGTCATGTGAAAATATATGTAAGTATAAAATTCTGGTAAATATATAATGCATTTCAGAATATTTAATTCTATATTGGTAGTATATAAATCACTTTTGTATAAAGATTAAAATACAAGTATTGTAAATACTTATAGCTATAATAATTTGTTAATGGATAGAAAATACATCAAAGATCTGAGTTGTGACTTTAACGCATCAAATATGGGGTGGCTAAAAGTGTATGATTTTTGTATGTTCTGAAACTTAGCGGGATAAAAGCTATTATAGGGCAATAACCACAGCAAAAATGTACAGTAGATCCACAAAGATAAAGAAAAAAGAATGAAAACATAACCACCGAAGAAAAACATCAACTCACAAAGGAAGATAGTCATGTTCTTCATGTGTCATTAAAAAAGGTGGATCATAGCTACCAAGATGACTCCCTGGTTTTGGTAGTGGTACCCATGTCGGGTGGGCGGATCCTCATCATGGTTGACTATGATAAGTAAGAGTGAAGAGCAAGGAAGGAAGAAAGGAGAAAGAAGGAACAAAGAAACTACAAAACAGTCCTCAAACAAAAACAAAGTGGTAAGTAGCAAGTTCTGACCTTTCTGTCCTTAATTGCTTTGAATGTGAATAGGTGAAATTCTATAATGCAAAGACTAGGATGGCTGAACAAACATTAAATAGAGAAAAAGAAAAGATTCAATATATGCTTCCTACAAGACACATACTTCAGACTTAAATAAAAACATAAGCGAAAAGGGAGGGTATGTGAAAAGACTCCAGACAAATTAGAAACCAAAAGATAATAGGGATAGATATGTTTAGACTAAGTAAAATGTAAATAAAAAATTAACAAAAAAAGAAGGTAGTAAGGAATGGAAAAGGGGTCAGGTAATAAGAGGGTATAATAATTGTAGTTATATATGCAACCAGCAGTGGAGCATCTAAATATATTAAGCAAATATTAACAGATCTGAAGTTAGTAATATCAGTATTATGAAAAGGGCCAAACACCATGATCAAGCGGTATTTATTTTGGGGAATGAAAGGATGGTTTAATATATGCACATAAGTGTGATATTCCACATGTCTAGAATGAATGATGAAAACCATACAATCATCTTAATGGGTGAAGAAAACATATTTGACATAAACCTTTTCAGGACAAAACTCTGATGATGTGTGTGTGTATAAATAAATGCATGCACACAGACAATACAATATTATTCAGCCATAAGAGAGAAGGAAATCCTGCCATTTTTAACAACATAGATGAGCACGGAGGGCATTATTGCTAATGAAAAAAGCTAGACAGAGAAAGGAAAAATGGTGTATGGTATCACTCTCATGTGAAATTTAAAGTAACAACTGCAATACACTCAGAATAGAATGGTAATTGCCAAAGGTTGAGGAAAATGTTGAGATGTTGGTCAAAGGTTACATACTTTAGTAATAAGATAAACACATTTAAAGTTCTAATGTACACCATGGTGATTGTATTTAATAGTGCTGTATTTCATGCTTGGGATTAATTTTCTATAAGGATAGATTAAGCATTCTTAACAAAAAAGAAAAAGTTAACTCTGTGAGGTGATAGATGTGGTAATTAGCTAATTAACTTGATTACGCTAATGACTTCATAACATTTATGTGTATCAAATCATCACATTGTGCACTTTAAATATATACAATTCTATTTGTCAATTATAACTCAATAAAGCCGGAGATTAAAAAAAAAAAAAAAGAAGAACAGTAGCTTCTATTTTCTTTTTTCTATGTGCAAAAGGCATTCCTGTTCTTTGTTTCTTAAGAATTGAGGGGCTATTGGATTATAGGATGAGAGATATAGATATAAGTAAGAGATATATAGGTGACTTAGCCACAACACAATTTGGTCAATTCTCCATGGAAGTTTTGCCCCCCACAAAAAAGTGCAGATGGATCTCTGGGTCAGTGGCCTGTGAAAATATCGGATTTTTTTCCTTCATTTTTCTAAAATATCAAGGAAATGAGAGACAGGTTTCTTTATCATGTGCCCAGTTCTCCAATGGAAGAAGACAGAGGTGCCATTACCCTAGAAGATACTCCATATCAAGTCATGCTATGGCCTATAAGCCTTCCACAAAAGCTGTTGGTCACTCCCAGAATTCCATGTCAGTCAAATACAGAGGGTTGCACATTTTGAAACCTTATTCAGTAAAGCATTCAAGCACTGAAGAGGGGGTAGAATGATTGACATAGACCGGGGCTGCTGGAATAGGTAGGTTCCAAATAAGAACAGAACCATGAATTACAACCAGGGCAGGTGGTCAGCACAAGGCAGAAACTGATTCAAACAGGAAGACAAGCCAAAAAGACAAAAATTTCAAAGGCAGACTAAAGTAGGTCATAAGGTCAAAAAGCAAATGACTGTCAGAAGTCACAAGGGCAGGGCCAAGGTAGCAGGGTGAGCCAAGAATAAGCCATCTCCTTCAATCAGAGGGAAACCCTTGCTACATTCCGAAAGTGTTTGTTTACTTCATAAGGCAGAGGTACCTGTTTGGCTCTTGGGGTTTATATGGGCCTTATGGGTGGTGTTATAATTAAATAGCAGAGTAGTACTTTAACACTCTGCTAATTCTCAGGTTATATTTGTAAACAAGCCAGGGAAGCTTGAAGTGATGTTTCACATTAGCAGTATACATTTTGGTACACTAGAGATCATTTTAAGAATAATTTTGATTTATACTTGCGCACTCACCTCATTTATTTTATAAGTCTAGACTTTAAAGGAGGATCCTCCTCAAATATTTAGGAAGAACAACTTATCACTTGTTCAACACCCCCTTTAAAAGTCTAGAAGCCTTCCTTTTGGGACTTAGACTGTTGTCTCTGTGATATGGCCCCTCCTTTCCCACCTGCTCAGGAAATGTGAGCTGTGAATTGCAGCTGATTTGGAATTTAAAGAGACTGCAACTCAAGTGTGACAGCAACTGCGCTATTTGTTCACCAGACTGTTAAGCCTGTCATTACCCAAGGCGACCTTAGAGCAAACTCTTATTTAATTGTTTAAGCACGAGAAGCAAAAATGTCTAGGTACCCTGCTTCTCTAAATTTTTTTTTCCTATTGGGGCTTTTTTTCTCTACTAGTTAGCATTTAAATCAAAGAAATATAAACTAGGTGAGATGACCTCTTGAAGACTGAAGATCACAATAAAATTGTAATATGCAAGATCTCAAGGGGATGATTCAGGAAAAATGTGGCATACAAGAAATGTTCTTCCACACTTTTCTACAAATAATTTTAAACTTTATTTATTTATTTATTCATCTATTTTGGGTTTAAATGGCCACATGGCTAAAGTAACAAAATCAGATGAGTAGGCCCTATTTCTTTGGCTCACTCCTTGATCCTTTTAAAGCTATAGGTACAAGACTGGCAATTAGTTCCTGAGTGGCATGAACAGTGCCATTTTGCTTATTTTCAACAAGTATTATCTGTCATCCTTCATTAGATTGACCCAGAAACTGTGGGAAACCATGACCCAATATTTAAGGGGAATCAAGATTATAATCACCAGTGTTGAACATGATTTTATCATTGGTGCTCCTCATCAGTTGGTATGTTTTCAGTTCCCTGGGGAGAGGTTACAGAATTCCCAAGAAGATCTTCTATGAGCAATTGGAAGGAATTTTTCTCAATATCTCTAGTATGTTTTGCTTTGCGGAACATGGCTGCATTTGAGAGGAAGGTGTGTTTGACTTTTCTCAAGGCTGTGCTTTATTGTTCTTAACTCCAATGGTATTTAAAGGTGAAAGGATACAAATTAAATCACATGCATATTCTGTAAGACCATAGACGATAGGCAGGTAAGGTTCAGGGGTAGGCTGAATGTCGGCAGATTTCCATCTCCAGCTCAGTGTTAAAATATTGCAGCGAGAGTACGAAGAGGAAAAACTGGTATTTTTTCTATTTTATCTGTAAAGCTCACTCTGGGCTCAGGCCAATAAAATGTTTGGCCAATAAAATATTAACTCATATTCATGCAAAAGCTTCAAAAATCACTTGCATGATATGTTCACCTTTTCTTGGAAATTTGCTACCATCAGTGTGAGTATAGGTTAACATGCCTAAACCTTGGCATGAGAAGATAGTAAAGGTGTTTTATTCAATTAGCTGACATCCTGACAACTTCCAAATAGGAGGGAGCCTAACCAAGACAGGCAGAAACATTTAACAACCTTGTATTTGTAGCAGAGTAGCTGAGGGCAGACACAAAATGAGCCTACCTGAGCCCAGCTTAGATCAGTGTAATTGCTCAATCACCCTATAAACTCATAAAATGTAAGAAATGTTGACTGTTGTATAACAATGATATTTTATGTTGTTGATCACACAGCATTAATGTGGCAATAGATACCTGACACACCAGCCCAATGAACATGATCAGTGAGTGTTAGCTATATACATCTCATCTCATTGAATCTAACGTGCTTTGATAATGGTATCTCCTTGCTTTTTCTAGAAGCTATCTATAGAAAGCTTCTTTACAATGGCATAATAATCACCATATGGCAGGCAGTGACTTTTATATTCCATGAATTCAAAGATGCATCTTTAATTCAAATATGCTATAGTGCTAAATTTCTGGTTATTGTGGAAAATTTTGTTAAAAATCTTTAGGATACCAGTGACCTGTGAGTGCAACTGGGTGCAGCTCCTTGGGACTTGAGTGGCTGTAGATGCAAAGATTGCAGCTTGGTATATTATGGCATCAGAGTCTCAGTCAGGCTCACTGAGGTCAGAGGCACCTGTAACTGGCCAGTGGACCTCTCCATTGAAGCAGATCAGTGCTATCCTTATTTTCCTTAGTGACAGGAGCAGTGTGGGACTCTCATGAGAGTTTCCAGTTTGCCTAAACACCACAATGGCAAAGCCTTCACAAATAAGGCTTTCTTCCACATTTACAGTTTGAGGGGTAAACTATGCCCCCCAGGATCTCTTAATGCTAAACTGGGGTAGTGTTTAATTGTGCTGCATATAAGTGATATGAGACAGCCAAGAAGAGTTTAAATACAACAATTATGGCAATAGTCAGGGAGACTTTAAATACTACAATTAAAATTACTTGTTGTGTGTTTTGCATGTTATGTTTTGTCGGGGTCTGTATACCAGACACAGATTAATATTTTATTCCCTATATCAATATTTTATAGTTTTTAGTAGAATGAGGTAAACGAGGTTAGTATTTTGTGTTTAAATTTTAAATGGAAGTTTACAGACATTGCAAGAAAATTAATACTGTTATTTCATTGTTATTGGACCAAAAAAAGGAGAACACAGGTTGAGCCAATACTTGGCTCCAAATAACTTTCACCTGCAATTTTTCTTTCTTTCGTAGAAATCGTACTCATCTTTAAACAGAAGTAAATAAAGCAAGGTTCTCTAAGCACCTTTCATATCCTCTGAGGGCCACTACAATGAGGAGTCACCAAAGTATTACAGAATTGATGGCACAACACAGGGATCATGCTTGTGCCTTCCATGGTGAAAGCCCTAAAGGGAGAAATTATTGGTTCAGAGGAATCAGCCTGCTCTAGCTGAATGATGAGCTCATTCGGAATCTTCTTTCTACCAAGGGATGCCCATGACTAGGAAAATGTCTTTGCTTTGTTAAAAAGGCCTCAGCCAAAGCTACCGAATGACCTTCCATCTTAAATCCAGCTTTGGTTTCCTACCAAGTGAACCCTTCATGGTTCACTGGGAGGTCAGTGGTACTGACCAGGTAGTTTGGAGAGAGCATGAGTTTGGGAGTCACAAAAACCTTAACCCAAGTTCTGGCCTTTCCTGTGAAATGCCAACCTGATTTTGCTAGGCTCTTTACTCTGAATGTCAATTTCATCCTTAAGTAAAGGGTGGTTAATTTTCACCTTGTAAGATATGATGAAAATTAGGAAAAATGAGATACAGCAAACAACTACATAAAGAGGTCAGTTTCAATTTCCACCTTTCCCTTCCATTTTATTATTTTTATTTTGGGAGGTACCAGGGATTGAACTCGAGGACAATCAACCCCTGAGCCACATCCCCAGCCCTTTTCTATATTTTATTATAGACAGGGTCTCACTGAGTTGCTTAGTGCCTCACTTTTGCTGAGGCTGGCTTTGAACTAGCGATCCTCCTATTTCAGCCTCCCGAACTACTGGGATTTCAGGTGTGCACCACCATGCCTAGCTATTTTATTATCTTGCTATTTTCCAGTCTTGAATGCCTCTCTTTGGAACTGGGTATTGCTAGTACATTTGCCTAAATGTTCAGGTTTGCCCGCTACTAAATGATAGAAGTCTATTCTCCTCTCCCTTGATGGAGCATTCCCCCTTCCAGTGGACTTCTCTGAAGTGACCACCAGCAAAGAGCACAAGTATACACCTCTGCTGTTCACACTACTCTTCCTGATTTCTCTGTCTCTGTCAATGCTAATGCCATTCAATGGTCATTCTGTGCTCTCTTTCCTTTCCCAGGAGAGTCACAGTACCACTGCTTACCCCTCTTCAGCGCCAGACTCCGTAGCAACCAGGTTGGGAAGAATGTGGATGGATCAGTGCAGCTCATCACCATGGAACCTCATTTAAAGAGAATTTGGTATGAGAGGTGGTCATCTGCACCATCTTCATATAATAAATGAGGGACAAATGCATCAAGGCCCTTAGGGTCCATTGAGACTACTGTAAACATGGACATAAAGGTCTCTAGAAAGTTCATATGTTAAAGAAGAACACAAGTGACCATGAATCTGCCACGTTTTATATGCCAGGCTTTTTACTAAAGGCACACATCAATTATTTCATTTAATGCCTCACAGCAGGCCTGTGATGTGGGTACCACTAGTAGCTCTCTTTGTGACATTTTCAGTTGTAGAGAAATTCAGTGCTTGTGCTTCATAGAAAGTTGTATACGTACCGAATGGCTAAGCTAGAACTTAGCACCTGTCAGCCTGACTCCATAGGTTTCTCTGCTTGCCTCCAGTTGAAGCCTTCCTCAGTTGGGCATTGGCCATTTTCGGATTCTGACTCTACAGATGAGCTGATGTGTTGGTGGAAGGAAGAACATCTGTGTTTCTGTTATAAAAGGAAAAGCTGTGATCACAGCCACATGCAATCAAATTCAGAGCCTTAAGGATTCCTCAGGGGTTATGGAATGTAGTTTGAGGCACACAAGTGTCAACGTCTGATGACAGGGAGGAAACATAACACCCACAGTGGCGTCTTTGGCCACCAGTGCATGAAATGTCCTATGAGTAAGTAGATGGCCTGCACTGCCTTCCTGCTCCTGGAATTCACCCTTTACACTGTCGCATGGGATGATAGGACAAGTGTGTGTGAGTAGAGCCAATGATAATTAGAAGTCACTCCCCTCATTGCCATGTGAAGACAATGTTAATTAATTAAAAGCGGATTACCTCTGTGGTTGGAGAAATGAAATAAGGGCATTGTGGATTGCATCTCCTGAAGCAGAAACACAGCACAATTATTTCTGTTCTTGTATTTCAATATCAAAACTACCTTATTTGAAATCCTCTCACTCTAGATTTTAAGATGCCTCTGTCTTTCAGAAGGCATCATGCTTAGCTTTGCAGGGTGGGGGTGTGAAGTTGCCTAACTCTTTCTCTTGCCTCTGGGCAATGTCAGGCAGGGGCAACTGACTGATTTGTCAAACATTTTATTTATGTCATTCATGAAATAGAAATATATAAAGGAAAATATGCTCTTTGCTTTGAAAAATTAAGATGTACTGGGTGCATATGTGGTTATATGACTCAATACAGGCCAACTGTGCTTGTGTACAAGCCAGAAAAAAAATTTGTGTATATGCACTAAAAAAAATGAAATATACAATCAAGCTAGTTAATATACCTTTCACTTTACAGAGTTACCATTTTTGTGGTAAGATTAATGAATATCAAAATAACATATTTTAGGCAAGTATAGGGGCAGATGCCCATAATCCCAGCAGCTCTAGAGGCTGGGTGAGACAGGAGGATCACAACTTTGAGGGCAGCCTTAGCAATTTTACCCTTAGCAACTTAGTGAGACCCTGTATCAAAATAGAATATAAAGGACTGGGGATGTGGCTCAAATAGTTAAGCGACCTTGGGTTCAGGCTTCAGCATAAAAAAATCACATTTTACACTTTGAATGTGTACAATTATACATTGTACACATTCAAAGTGCAAAATGTGGCAAGTCAGCTATACCCCAATAAAGCTGAAAATAATAATGAAAAGCAATACATGATTTATTTAAAAAGTATGTGTTTATGTACTTTTTAACGGTAGAAAAGAGATATTGTTTTAAAAATATATATTGTAAGTTATCATAAGCTACGACTAGGAACAGCAGGAATCACAGATAAAATTCTACCAAAAAGACATTATTATTTGTGTACCTCTTACTTTTATACATTCCTTTACTCTTAGAAAAATTTGATGAAGATTCAAAGTCTTATTTGATCCAATATTCATTTTGATTAAGAATATGTCTTCAAACCACATTTGAGCTTTTCCAGAAAGTGGAAGAGAAAAAAATCTGTGGCTTCCTTTGGCTCTCACAAGGAGTAGGTTGTGAAGAGGGCTTGGACTTGCCTTCTGCCCAGGACTTTCACCTTGGAGAATTCATCAAAACAGGAGATGGAGATGCTATGGAAACCGGGAAAGAGAGTTGTTGCATGCTAGCCAGTGGGAAAATAACCACTATTCCCTTCTGGAAGCAAATTTAAAAGCAAAACGTGTGTGTGTGCGCGTGTGTGTGTGTGTGTGTGTGTGTAGCCTTAAACAACACAGGCTTTGGAAAAGCTGCATTTACACTGCATCTCTTACCAGTTGTAAAAGGATAATCATCTATTTACAATGATTTGGTCGCTGCATCTTTTGCAGCTATTAATTCAAAACAGCCTCAAACTGTTTAAAAGTAGAATTGTGCTATAATGACTTTCCTCAAGGAAAGAGACTGAATATGAAATTGAGTTCCTTGGGAAAGCACATTCTGAATTCTGCCAGCAGGAAGCCCCTCTTGTGAATTGACAGGGATAGGAGGTTCCATCCCCATCACTTCAGCTAGACAAATATTCCTCAAGAGCTGCACGTTCTGGCCCACTTTTTCTCTTTTCTTTGTCTTTGTGTGTATGAGCTTGTGTATGATTTCTCTTTGCAATAATGCATGCTGCTCCAACCATCATTAAAATGATTGATTTTATCCTGTTTTCCTGATCATTTTGTTGGTTCAGTGACTGGTAAGAGCACCTACATTTTCTTTGAAGTCTTTTCTTGTGATGAGGCTTCCTTTCAGGACTGTTAGCCTTTTTCCAGAATTCTCCTGAGCATTGTATATAAGGCAACCACCTGTTCGATTTCCATGTCTCTTGTCTCCTAGGGATTACCTGTCCAATTCTAGTGCACACTTTTTAGAAATCCTAAGGGTTTCTGATAAGACTGGAGGGAATTGATACTGTTTGCTATTTATGGATGTGGATGACAAGCCACCCCTAAAAGAGTCCCTCCCTTTCCAGAAATATCAATATTTGTTAATTGTGGGTTTTGTGGGCACCTCTGAGAATCTACCTACATGAGTTGACAATTGCAACTTAATTTAATCACTACGCAGGATCTGAAAATAGCTTTTAAATCAGAGCCTAGAAACTTACAAAGCTTCCAGCACCCATGGAACCTAAGCTTGGGGATTTTTAAGTCCTAGTGACATTTTTTTTTTGGAATGTTAAGATTTAGAGTTGGACTTGCTAAGCTAACACATTAAACTGAAAAAAAAAAAATAAAAAAACAAATTCCCAGCAATTAACAATGATCTTCAAGAAGTAAAGAATATTTTATCATCAATAAGATGGAAGAACATGATGTCAAATGAAAGGATAACCATTTATTTTTTGTAAGTTTAGCTTTAAAATGAATATCTTTTTTTCCTAATTTTTAAAGCCTGTATTATTGAATCTTCATCATACTCGCCAATGTGAATAAAATGCATGAAATTAATGCTCAGTGAGAGAAGCCAGACTCAAAATCATCATAAAGAAAAGATGTGAAAAAATGGGAAAAAAGAAAATCTGAGCAAAATTTATTCATTGCAGGTTCTAATTCCCATCACAACAGATTCATGATTTAACTCTTAAAATAGCTTGGCTTTACTAACAACTAAAGCCAGATATTCCAAGGAAAAATTTTCAGGTTCTCCCATATAGCTGGTTAATTATGCAAAAGTATTCCACACAGCAAAAATAATTTATTGGTCTTCTTGAGGAAATTCAGCTTATCCTGAAACACTTGGGAATTGGGTTATCAGCTCAATTTCAGAAGGCAAATATTTACTCATTGTAGCATTGTTTCCCACAGGTAATTGGAATTCAAATATGAAAGTATTTAAGGTTTAAATCTAAGACAACTTTTTGTGTCTTGATATCATAAAATCTTTCAATGAAAAGATATCCTTTTGTTCAGTTTTCTGTATTTAAGATTCTATTTATTTATTTATTTACTCTTAGAAATGTGCCAGGTGGTATTCCAGACCTCAGGACAACAGAGACAAATACCTCAAGAAGTTCATACACCAGAGGAAGACAGGCACATAAACAGATAAGGACCACATGGAGGAATCTATGCTGGAATGAAGATTTGTAAAAAGAGTTGGAATTGATAGATATGTGGTTTAATAAAAACATTACTGTGAATTTAACATATGGAGGGACTGCCAAATGATTTTCAAAAGCAGCTGTACTATGTCAAAATCTCACTAGCAATTTAAGAGAAATCAACTTTTCCACATCCTTGTTTACAATTGTTACTGTCTTGTCTTTCTTTTTAGCTATGTTAGGGAGGTTGAAGTAGCACCTACTTGTAGTTTTGATTTGCATTTCTCTGCTGACTACTGATGTTGAACATTTTTAATGTGCTTTTTGATTATGTGTATATCTTCTTTGAATAAATGTTTTCATAAAAATAAAAAAGAAAAGATGTGAACAGGTGACGTGACTCTCTGCTAATAGAAGTCAATGTAGTGAGATATCCTCAAGGGGTAGATGGGGGTATCTAGAGGGGACAAGGGAGGAAACGATTCCAGGGCATTGCTAGTGCTACATCAATTCCTTATGAGAAAATTCAGCAACCTGCACACTATCTTATATGTACTTTTTGCTACATCATTGTCATTATCATTAAAGTAAATAAATAAAAGTTATTTCATCATGGTCCAGTATGAACCTATTGGCACATGGAAACCACAGAACTGGTTCAGTTTCCCTTTGGACAGATTGGGAAACTGAGGCTTTGAGAGCAAAACTGTCTCATTCAATGTCTTCTCAATCCATCAGTGATGCGACTGGGAAGTAGTTCAGGCATCCTAAGTCTGATCCTCCTAAGTCTGATCCTGGGACCTTGCCCTCCTGCAGGCTTCTTAAGCTGAAATAATCACTGTGTTTGATTTACCTTTTACCTCTTTAAAGAAGTACCCAGCTTAACTGAGGGTGTTTGCTCAGCTGCTTGGAACCCAGCACATGTACAATTCATACTTCCCCAGGGTGACTTGATGCTTACTGTGGTCAGCCAATCCTTGTCAAGGGACCTGGACATGTCCTACTACATAGCCATCTTCCTCATGCATGTACCTCTCCAAGCATTTCATTTTTTCTTAAGAAAAGACATTACTTTTATCTTTTATGAAACACATTTTTTTTTCTTGGATACTTGAAACTCTCCAACCCTTTATTCTATTTTCCACTCTCTATCTTTCTTTTTCTTTCTTCTGGGTCTTTCCCCTCTGCCTACATATGTGCTCACTATCCCTCTGCCTTACAAAAATGAGCAAAGTAACAAACAAAGCAGCCTCTTTCCTGGTCCCTGCCAGCAAGTTGGTAGATATTTGTTGAGAGCCCACTGTGTGTCCATGTACCAGCCCTGCTCATAGTCAGGCAGGCCCAGACTTCCTCTTTAGGTACTTACGTCTGCAAATTTTTGAAAAAGTCAATTTATCCTTGATTTTTTCTACTTAACGCCAATTTTTAATTTTTTTTTTTCTCACCCAACTGCTCGTTGGCTTCCAGTCTCACTGCTCTACTACTACTGTTCCTTTAAAGAATGCCCATTTCTTTGTCTGGAAAAATTATAGCATATACCTGTCATTATGGTACGCGCATCAGTGCACCCATGTATCTTCAAAATGTCATAGAGAGGAGAATAAATTAGGAGAGCAACATTACCTTTTAGTGACCTTATAAATTACCATTACTGAGTCCTCCTCCTTTTTGATACTTGATACATTGGGCACAGTGTGTATAATGGTTAGGGACATTAGCTTTGACATAAAGCCTAGGCTCAATCCTTGGATTTCTTGTGTAGGAGCTGTGCGATCTTAAGCAAGTTACTCACTCACTCTGACCCTGGTCTTCATTTGCAAAAAAGGGCTTAACAATAGTAACATCTACCTCATATTATAGATAGACCCAATTCTAAAAAAAAAAAAAAAAAAAAAGCATCTAAAGACATTGTACAGTGCTGGCATAGAGGTTAGCTTTCAGTAAAGGGAACTTTTTCTCACCACGTTTTCCTGGTTGAGTTTACTTCATGCTCTGCACATTCTGGTGATGTTTCTTGGGCTACTTCTGTACTTTACCTTTACTCACAGCACATTCACTATGGTCTTGTGTTTATCGTTTCTCTGTTTAAAACAACATCAGAGCCTTATGGTGAAGCAGGTGGGCTGAACCAACAAAACTTATGGGTTCATAATCGCAGCTGTGTCTCTTACTAGCTAAGTGCACTTGAACTTCCAAATTGTACTTTCCCTTGTGCTTGTCTTTGCTATTATCACTATTAAATGAGGCTTATAGTAGTATCTACCTTCATAGCTTCTGCCCACTTCAAAACTGCTGTGTGAAGATTCAATGAGCTAGGCATGTATCACGTAATTAGCCCAATTCCTGGAACAGAATAAGCACCTACTAAATGTTAGTCCTTCTACTCTCAGTCTCCATATTAAAGGTTTTGTCCCTGCATTCATTTATTCTCCGTTCTCCCTTGCCCCCATGTAAGAACATCTGGTCAACCCCGTGCATATGACCTCTGTGGAGCCTTCATACCAACTTCACCCCAGTCCAGACCTTTGTTCTTTCTTTCTGATCATAAGAACTGCTTCATAGCTAGTTTCTCTGCCTGCAATATGCACCCCTTGATCTACTGTCAACAATAAAGTCATTGAATTCCCCCAAATCACATTCCTGATCCTGTCTCTTTGACACTGAGAACTCCTGTGGTTCCCCATTGTTTGCAGATTAAATTCTGAACTGCAAGTCATGCTATTCAAGAGCTCCCCTATCCAGACTCCACTTCCCTTTCAAGCATTATCTCTCCCCTGCACACATTGTTGTCTCCAGTGACCCAGATGAAGAGAGCATCCTCTCTTCCTAAGATCTGACTACGATTTCCCCATCAGGGCCATGGTTTCTCTTGTTCTCTCCATTTCAATATCCTCCCTTTTCTAAGTGCCATATAACTATCACTCTTTAAAGTTCAATGCAGATGCTATCTTCACCAGGATTTGACATCTCCCCTACCTGTACACAGAAAAGATACACACTTCTGGGATGTCATCTGACTCTTCCCAGTAATGCCACATTTTCTACCTTATGTTCTGTCTAAAAATAATTTTCTTTCTTTCTTTTCCTTTGTTTTCATTCTTTCCACAAGATCAAAATCTGTTAAGTACTCATTTTGTCCCTCTGTCTTCTGCCCTTCACCTTATAGTTTGCATCAATATTTTCAGGGTAGATAGGTGGGTATCTTAATTAACCCCTCTGGGCATTGAATCAGGCTCTGTGGAGGACACAGCAAAAACCATAAAGAGCTCTCTTCCTATCTTGCAGGGACATAAAGCTGAAATGAGAAGAAAGAGCATGCACACATGAAAATGACTGAGTAACCTTCTCAGAGCAGCTCATAAATGGAAGCAGCTTAATGCAGTGCCCTAGAGTTGGTAAGTCCTGGGGGATGCAGAGTAGGGAGAGTGCATCAGCCTTGCAGCTTAATGGGTGAAGGTTTGGCAGAAGAGGGCAATTTTGCAAAGGGCTTGGAGAGAAGAGAGGCAGAAGGATTGGCAGAAAAGGAAGGGAAGGCTATCCCGTGGGTAGGAGTGACTGGGCAGAGTGCAGCAATGCCTATTTCCTCTTTTGCTTGAGGGGCAAGGCTGGCTTTGTCCTGAAAAAATTTAGGTGTATTCATGTCCCAAATCAAGATACCCTCAGGACCCAATTTAATGAAATAAATCCTCCATGTTCAGTAGCAAAGACCTGTATTTTACAATCAAACAAGCTAGGTTGTCATCTTCTTTTGTTTACCAATTATATGATCCTGAACCTGTGACTCTCCCTGTCCAAGTCCCAGATTTTACAACTATTTTTAGCACACTCATATCCTGCCTTTCTTAAGAATTGTTAGTGTAAATTTGGAAAAGTACCTTATTTCTCTAGGTTTTTTCATGTTTATAGGATGAATATGAAAGTGACTGAAGTAGTGTATATAAGGATATGCTGCATCATAAAAAATCAATGTATGTTAGATTATATCAATATTATTTATTACATTCTAAAAAATCAGATTATTGTCTATAAAATGGGTAAGCTAATAGTCACTTGCTAAGGGTGTTATATGAATTTAATAAGCCACCATCCAAAGTATGGGGCATAGGTAGGCACTCAATAAATGATGAATTGATAGTATGCCAAGACAATATATGCCTGGGGTTAACCAGAAACATCAATCACCATTCTGTTTAATAGATCATGTAGCCTTGTGTTTACTATCTATTTTCCATGTTAGAATAAAACCTCAGAAGTTCAGATTATGCCTGACTTATCTACAATTCAATATCTGGTACTAAACCCAATTTCTGCTACACAGTGTGGACTAATACGTAGACAAAGAGGAAGGACTAGGAAAAAAACATTTCAGTGGTAATTATGGCAACACACACAGCTGGTAAATAGTAGATTTTTATGGACTAATGAATTGTGCAAATTATTTCCAGAGCTGTTGGAATGAGGCCATTTGCATTAAATATGCAGAGTATTAATAATTAAGCTATAGATTCTTTCTGCAGCCTATGTTCTTTAGTTTTATTTCCACCTATTTGCGCACATTCATGGTATTGCCCTCCCATATACCCTCTTTGTCCACTGATTCTTCTATTTTATCTTATAGATCCTATTATTCACTGTAAAATTGAAAGATTTGTGGACAAAGGATAACCTAAGGCATAGGATGTCTCCTGACACTAGTGTAATTATTAGAAATCCTTAATTAGATAGTGAGAGGAGGAGAACTTTTTGTTAAGATAAGTCACATAGAGAAAAATAATATGACCGCAAAAAAGAAGGAAAGGAGAAGTGATATAGTCATAGAAACTTAATCTGCTTAGTGACTTTACCAGTGTTGAAATTGTCAACATCTTCATTTTAAACACTTATTGAGCACCAATGGCGTGCATTATTACAAAGTTCTGAAATAGGAAGTGTGGAGATTAGAGAATAACAATCTGGCAAAGTCTCTCTGTTTTCAAAGAACCTCTCTCTCCCTTAGTTGTGAAAGAAAAACATAAATCAATAATTCTTGAGTAAGTTTCTAGAGCACCTTGATTTTAGCCCTAAAGAAAGACTAGGGTATTGAAGGAGTTTGAAAACTATTTATCTAAGAAATGACTAGAAGAACCTCAGAGGTGTTGTCTTGGAGAAATTAAACAGGAACTAGCCAGGAGCTTCAGGGAATAATTAGCTAATTTATAAAGGAGTTTTAGATTCATTTTGTGGATGGTTATGAATGGTTCCAATGGTCAGAGTTAAAAGTGATTATTATTTCATTCATTATTTTATTAATTCAACAAAACTCTAAAGAACACTAATTAAATCCTAAGAATTGTTGTAAGTGCCACAGAGGGGGAAAACAATTCCTAAAAATTAGTGCCCTAAGGGAAAAGGATTCCCTATAGAAAGAGCTTTTCAAAGATGAGCTTCCTCTGAAATAAGGTCAGAAGTTTCACTCAGACCTTTCTAATTATTAGTACACATAAAGCATCTAAGGCATTTGTATTTGGCAAATGTTACTGCTTTCTGTAAATCATAAACCACATTAAGTTTTGGGAACATAGGAATAAATGTGGCAGTTCCTTTCTAGATTAAAAGAGAGAGATAGCAAATATTTACAAAAATAAGCAGGATAGTGTCTGGAGATTATCAACGTAAAACTTACAAATTTATAGTTATGATACTGAGAGTCTGACTGGGATGCTTTAGGCTGGATATCAGGGACAGTGTTTCTCAGAGGTGGTATTGGAGCTGGGGGATAGGAGCAGGCACAGTGGCATGGAATTTGTGTTCTCCCATTCTAAGACCGACACATTTCTTCACTTGCTAGGAGTGGTGGCAGTTGACACTTTGCAGTTGAATTCTTCCTCCCAGTGATTCTCCTCAGCTGAAGAAATCTGTCTCATCTAAAGCCCTTCCCCTTTCAGGGTGGAACTCAAATCCCATGGTTTATCAAGTGAGCAAAGCCTGAGTACTTCGTCCCCAGAAAGGACAACTCTGCACGGCCTTCCAGCTCAAAAGCGCCCACAGGGTTGACTGAGATTTTTGTCATGATTCATTGTATCTCAAATTCTCCTTTTGCCCATCTCTGCGTTATTTGCTCCCTGACAGGGTTTAACTCTGAGAATACACCCACTAAATTTCCTGCACACAAATTTCTGTCCTATGGTCAACTTCCCAGAGTCTGCTTTCACATGACCCAAGACAGATATAATTGATAAGGTGTAGCTGTCATTGTCCTATGCAGCCATTGAAATAAAATGTGAAATTTAATGACAGCAACCATAATTAATAACCTCTTATGATTTGGATCTAGAATGTGCTCCCAAATACTATATGTCAAAAGCCTGGTTCCCATTTCAGTAAGGTTCAGAAGTAAAGTTTTAGGCAAGGATTGGATCATAAGAGCTGTAATCTTTTCAGTGAATCAATTCATTTGATGGATTAATAATTTGAATAGACTACTGGGTAGCAATTGTAGGCATGTTGACATGGCTAGAGGTAGTACATTACTGGGGGTATACCCTTGGGGATTTTACTTTGAGTTGGCTTCTCTCTATTATTGCATGTTTTCTATTATTGAGCTGACACTCTGAAATTTACCTCTCTCTCTCTCTCTCTCTCTCTCTCTCTCTCTCTCTCTCTCTATCTCTATCTCTATCTCTCCTTCCTGGCTGCCATAAACTGAGTGGCTTTTCTCTGCCATGACCTTCCACCATGGTTCTGTAATAGAGTTAGCCAACCATGGACTGAAACCGTGAACCAATATAAATGTTTCCTTCTCTAAGTTGTTGTTTAGGTATTTGGGCCACAGTGATAAGAAATTGAAAAACACAGTACCACTATTAATACATGGCAGTCCAGGACTACGGAATCCTTCTCTGATTCCCAAAACAAAGGTGACCTCAGACAGCTTCCCTCTCATGGGTGTTCTCTCCTGCTCAAGAAAAATCTTACCGATTACATTCATTTTGACAAAACTTAGACATGTTTCTTCCTGGTTATAGGCCCCTGCCCTCCATTTTTCTTGTACTATTTACTTTAGAAAACACAATTGTAAATTATTTCTTAGCCTCTGAGATATAAATCTTCTCTCAAGTCTCTTACCAGTTGTAAAATATTTTACAACCCCAAAGGGTCTTTGCCAAGGATCTGAGAGCCATTTCTTTGAAATGCAATAGCATCTCTTCCTCCCAGTCTCTGTCAGAGTGTAGGAACTTAACTTCAATAAGTGCCAATTAGCAAATGAGAGGCCAAGCTCTCCTCTAATGCCCTCTAGAACTTTCCCACCAGCTCATCCCTGGGCTTAGAAACTTCCTTCCTTTCATTTCAGTTTAAGGGTTGAGTAAAATCTCTGTACCCCATTGTGACAGTCTAGAATAAAGTTTTCCTTCCCTGTTTAACTCTGGTGCAGTTTACCATTGACACTTCCTTTCTCTATTAGTGATTTTGTCAAGCAGGTCATCCAGCAAGGAAAAGATGGCTGGAGTTAGTAGTACCCGTTTATACCCAACAGTAAATACATGTTCTGGATTATTCTTTTGAATTCCAGCTGGCCAGGACCACAGGAAACGCAAAGAGGTTCTTTAGTTACACTACTGGACAGACAGCACAACATATCTGCTGATACCTCAGAAACTCAGTCTGATAATGAACTGGCTAAGAGTTTGCCTTGGAGAGGAAAGCCAGCAAACCAGGTCTGAGCTCCAGCATAATCTGAATGAAAAATTGCAAGTTCAGGCCTTGGGATCTGCATTGTCAAGCTCCAGAACAATACTGAGCATCTTGAATATGACCTTGGTTATTACTAAGGGCTCTTCCTGCTCAGATGACTTCATATCAACTTCTCTTAGCATCAACACAGCACTTCAAAGACCTTGGCTGTTCGGGATGCATGTTTTCTATTATTGAGCTGACACTCTGAAATTTACCTTTCAAATTTCTACTGGCATTTGGGCTGTCTCTGGACTTTTTGCTAGTTTTCTTTGTTTATTTTAAGGTTATTTTTTTCATTAGGATACATTCCCAATCATGAGATTACTAGACCAAAGGGTATATTGTTTTATGACTCGTGTTACCCATTCAGATTGCTTTTAATGATGAAAACAATTTTACTGCCAAAATTGACTTAATGTACCAATATTCCACACTTTTTTCAATTATTTTTACCAGTTTAAATATGTTGTTTTTGTTGTTTTGTTTTGTTTTGATGGCATCTGATACATAGAATATATTTGTATGAATGGAATTACTACATAGTTTACATTTCCCTTTCCAGGTAGCATGACAAAGTCGGCTGAGATGCATTTCAGGTATCTGTCCCTATGCAGAGTCCTCCCACTTCATTTTCTCATTGTCTGGGTTAAGGATTTTTTCTGCAGTTATTTGATTCCTGTGG